CCAAATTTCAACTAAAAATTTAATCGGGAGCGCATTCAAATTAATTCGAGAACGCAAAAATGTGCAGTTATCTTCAAGAATTAATTTGAATGTGTTCCCGATTGAATTTATATCTGAAATTTTGTATGAGTAAACTAGACTTGGTGAATAATATGCTCAAAAAATTTCATCAAAAAATTCCACCGGGAACTGCCCCAAATCGCGACGGCGGGACAGAACCTCCTATAGAAGGACTTAATTGACCTTTTTATGAAAGTTCGAGGACCTATTTGACAGTTTTCCCTGTAACATTTTGATGCTCTATAGTGAAAGAAGAAAGTTAATGCAAAAGTATGGGATTAGAGGATGTGGGTTATGCACTGTCTTTAACCTGTCCCCTCCACTCACGCAGCACCGGTCTCTATCTATCTCAATGCATTCAACAAACAAATATGTACACCCAAAAATAAAGAAAAGGGAAAATACATCTTCACTGCATAATAAATAGTGTCATTCTGATGGTTCATTATCCATTTTTTCACGTTGTGTTTCTCTTTGAAAAAAACATTGTGTTTCTTAAGTTATTTGACCAAAATATCCATATCCCCCAATCAAATGAGTGTTTGGGATCGCTTAAAAAAGTGCTTTTTAATTTTTGGCTTAAAAAAAGCTGAAAAGAGTGTTTTCAAATGACAGCTTCTGCTTAAATTAATCACTTAAAAGCTAAAAGCTGGAAGCAGGTAGAAGAGTGCTTTAAACTGCTTCTCACTTTTTCTATTACTTTTTCAGAATCACTTTTTTCTCAAACACTACCAACTTTTACTATTAATCACTTTTCTAAAAATCACTTTAAAAAATCACTTTTTTTAAGTCATGTGTTTGAGTTCACCGGTTTTAAGAAAATAATTTTTACTTTACTGTAGAGTGCACTGTTTGACACTGTTTGGACGCTGTGTGACACTGTTTGACACTGTTTTGCACTGTTTGACACTGTTTTGATGTAAATTATTTGCCAAATAAAGAAAGTATTGAAGTGTGAACTTAATTTTGGAACTGCCTAAAAAGGAAAATGAGAACTTAATCGGGGGACAGAGTAAAGGATTTGGATCAGGTTAGTAAACAATCGGCAAAACCGACAAATAATTAAAATAGTAAGATAATGCGCATGGATGAAGACATGTTTATTTGGGAAATAGAAAAGAAAAATCTAGTAAAGGTGTAAAACAGACCACACAACTTTGCAAAAATAATAGTCATCACAACCAATACTCCAATATTTGATGATCATCCCAATATTAACTCCAATTTCGATTTTCCACACAAATTAAGAGACCATTTGGTGATCATGTTTTTTTGACTTGTAAGACTTACCTGTCAACTTTTTCACCAAAACACGTAACTTTTTCGCGCGCTGAATTACGTAGGGGTGAGTTCGGGTCGGGTTGAGTCGGGTTTTGACTAGGAATCTAGGACCGCTAAAAACCCGAAAAGCTTCGGGTTCTACATTTTTGGGCCCGACCGAAGGACCAATACTTTCGGGTTGGTCCGGGTTTTAAGAGCCTCGGGTTCGGGTAGAGTTGGGTTGAACTCGGAAAAAATCGAACCGAGATATCTAAAAACAATTGAAATACAATCACGATTAAAATTGCAAATATCTAAATTTCTAATCACAAAATATACATAGTAAAAACCAAAGCAGTATATTTTGCATCTAAAAATCACACGCTAGAAAATGTTATCGAAGAACAACTGGTTTGAAGATTTTTTGGTCAGCCAATGTAAAATTTAAATCTCCATATTGATACTTAATTCAATTTTTAATAATTAAAATTAACATATTCAAAAACTACATTAAAACCTCTTTAAAGTTGCAAACTCCAAATTAAATATAATTAAAAATTGACATCCTAATTTAATGAATAAAATGAAATTGTTTGACTAAAAAATTCAATTTTGCAAATCAATTTATGAAGGAGGTAGTATAAAATAGTTCATATGTATTATACGTAAAAAATTGGTATGATGTATTAATAGGACATACGTATTTTATATAAAATATTTTAGTTTCTTAATTAAATCAGGTTTTTTCGGTCCGGGTCGAGTTTAAAAATTTAAAACCCAAATTAGGACCCAAGTTTTCGGGTTCGGGTCGGGTATTTTAACCCGGACCGGTCATTTTTAAAATAAAACCCAGACCAATGTCATATATCGGGTTGGGTCGGTTCGGTTATCGGGTCAATTTTTCCCACACCTAGAATTACGTAATAATATGAAAAAGTAAGGATGAAGTTACTTTTCTAACTATATTGGTTGAAGTTATTCTAGAAGATAATTTTAGTTATTTTTTTCATATAGAGCCCGTTTGGTAACACTAAAATTGGCTGATTCTGCTGAAATTTATGAAGTTCTGGCTGAAGTGGCTATATTGGCTAATTCTGCTGATTCATGAAAAAATTATATTTAAAATATTTGTTATTAATAAATTAAATAAAAAATTATATGAAAAAATAGCTAAAATGATCATCTACGGTAACTTCAGCCATAAAAGTAACTCCAAACTTACCTTTTCTGCTTATTACAAAGTTCAGCACGCGGCATCAAAATTTACGTGTTTGGTGAAAAAGCTGGTTGATAAGCCGAAAAAGGGGGTTACCAAACGGGCTCATAATTTTTTTTTATTTTATAAATAAAATATATTTTATTTTATTTTTCACGAATCAGTAGAATTAGCCAATCTAACCACTTCAACCACTACTTCATAAATTTTAGCAAAATCAGGCAATGCAGCCGAGCTATAAAATGTAAAAAATACTTGGATAAATGTTTTGGAGAAAAGAGAATTAATATAAATAAATTGTAAATTCTTTACCACAAATGGGAATGAAGCTTACTTCAAGACAAATGAAAAATTGAAGAATGAACATAATATTGAGATGATTGAGTATTTAACTGTTTAAATTTAGCTTGAAAAACAATTCCTCTTAATATAAGCTGTTTTTTATAGCAATATCAACTATTACTAATAATTAATAATTAATATTAACAATAACTACGAGTATTTGAATATATAACAAGAAGTGATCATATTTTTAAATAAGTTCTATTTGATTGTTTGATAATCAAATTTAATATCTTAAATGGCTTATTAATTACTAGTCGAAAAGTAACTGTATATTATTATTGTCATATAGAGAAATAGGTGATATTACAAAAAATATTTTAAAAATGTACGTAGTATATTCTATTATTTTTTATTCATGAGTGATATTTAATATTATTTTTCCTGATATTAATAGCACATAAAGTAATAAAAAAGAAATCTGTTGAAAAACAGATAAATGTGAACACCCCCAGGCCCAAACTACAATAAATTATCATCTACCAATTTCTTCATAACATCGTTGTCAAATTTAAGAATTATCAAAACAATATTTATGAACAAATATGATTTCCCCCAATAAAACTACTAAAACAAAGTTCACAAATAAAATACTCCTAGTGATGTTTGCCAAAGTATAACCATGACACTGCAGATTAAAATGGATATCCTCATGGTCACAATCTTTACCACAAAATTATCATGGTTACTACTCACCTGAAAGTAGTATATAGACCTTTTCTTTTGAACTTTTCATCAAATTACTTCAACCATTCCATTTTATTACTCTTCTTTTTCCTTCATTTTATTACTCTTTAATTTATTAGTTGTAACTTGTTATGACAACCAAGTTATGTTCATTTAATCACTCTTCGGTATTAAATTTTTTAGTTTTAACACCCCAATTAAAGTTTTTCAGTTCTATTTTATGAAATAATTAACATTTTAAATGATAAATTATTCATTAAATATATAACTAATACACTTATAACATCATAGTTATTATCGATGACCTGAATATGTTCTAGACCCATCAAAAGTACTTTTAAAAATATATTCAAATCCTTTTATTTTATTATCGTCTGAATAAAATTTCTCAATTAGAAGCTTAACTCTTTAAACTAGGATGTGGTAGTACTTTTCGATAGTTTATAAATGAAAGTTAGAGACCGTATATACAATAATAATTAACAAACCATAATTTTAGCTCAACAATTCTTTCTTATACACAAAATTTGTACACATTTTAGTACATAATTGTCTATGCACAGGGACAATGCTATACGAGCTGTGCATGTAAACGGGCAAATAGGGAGTGTACATATTATTTGAGTGTACAAACACTACGTATAATATGCGCGAAACATGTACAAAAGAGAGCTTCTTCTTGTACCCACTATTGTACTCATTATTGTACCCACCATGTTTTCATAGACATATTTTTGGGGATAAGGGTCAGTTTGGTCCTCGAAGTTGCAAAAAAGGGGTCAAATAAATCCTTATATAGAAGATTCTGTCCGGACGTGCCATTTGAGGTGGCTCCCGGTGGAATTTTTTGATGAAATGTTTTGAGCATCATATTCATTAAGTCTAGTTTACTCATACCAAATTTAAAAAAAAAATCAATGGGGAAGACATTCAAATGAATTCTTGAAGATAACTGTGCCCTTAAAAACGTTGTTATCTTCAAGAATTCATTTGAATGTCTTCCCGATTGAATTTTTAGCTGAAATTTGGTATGAGTAAACTAGACTTAATGAATAAAATGCTCAAAAAAATTTATCACAAAATTCCACCGGGAGCCACCTCAAATGGCACGTCCGGACAGAATCTTCTATATAAGGACTTATTTGACGCCTTTTTTGCAACTTCGAGGACCAAACTGACCATTTACTCCATATTTTTGTCTATGACCGAAATTCACAAAAAAAAAATTCCTCACAAACATGGTGAATACAGAAGTGAGTATAATAGTGGGTACAAATAGTTTTTTTGTGTACAAAATTTGTGTACCAAAACTTTTTTCATTTCACTCTAGGAGGGAGGCGGTATCAAATGTCCTTAGCTTGTGGAGACCACCTTATAATTAATTGAATTGAATGAATTAAGAGAAGGGGCAAAAAAAGAAAAAAGAAAAGGAATCCAAAAGGGCACCCGCACATTGGCCTTTTTTGCCTTTAGCTTCTGTGCTTCCCTTAGCAATTGTCTATGTCTGCTGGTTTTTCTGCTCCCCCTTCTCAGAACTGCAAATGGGGGGGGAAGAATCGTACATTCAATTTCTTGTTATATTACTTGACCCTTCCTTCCTTTTCATCTTAATAATCTTTTGAGCTACCTCCTTCTTTCCCAACCCCCATGACCAGGACTACAGATTCTTATTGCTTCTCCTCCCCAAATTTCTGCTGCTATTCCACACCTTTCTCCCTTTAAATCCATATACATACATACATACATATATATATTCACTCCACTTCCAATCTTCTCCCCCCATTTCAGCATCCCACTTGAGTGCTTGCTTTTTCTCCCACTTCTCAGTGGTAGTGATTTGTTTTCCACGGTTTCTCTACCTTCTTTTTTGGTCTTATTTATTGAGTGGGTGTATGTTGGTCGATTCCCACCAAGTTTTCATTTTTATTTCCTTTTTCTTTTTCCGGATGCTTTTATATTGAGAAAAACATAAACATCATATACCTCACTGGGCGGGTTCAACTTTTTTTTTTTGATGGAAATTGATCTGAATCATCAAGTGAGGGGTGGTGGTGAGGAGGAAGAGGAGGAAGATGAAGGGAAAAGGACTGGTTCTTGCTGTATTGCAGAATGTGAAGAAGAAGCAGAAAGGGTTGTTGGTTCATCAATATACTTGGAGCTATGGCATGCCTGTGCGGGCCCACTCACCTGTTTGCCCAAGAAGGGAAATGTTGTGGTCTATTTCCCTCAAGGCCACTTAGAGCAGGCTTCTTCATCATCTCCTTTGGAGATGGACTTCCAAACGCTTAGACTTCCTCCCCAGATCTTCTGCAGAGTAGATGATGTTCAGCTTCTTGTAAATTTCTCTGATCATATTGTTTCCTTTTTCTTTTATTGAGAGTGATTTTTTATTAATTAACTGTGTATCTGTGTATTCCAATATTGCAGGCCAATAAGGAAAATGATGATGTTTACACCCAGCTTACTCTGCTCCCTATACCAGAGGTATTATGCCTTTCTCTCTTGATCTTGTGATACACAGTATGTTCTTTTTGAAATGTAAATGTAAATGTATTCATTAGTATTAGTGCCCTTTTCGTAGCCAAATGTGATACACAGTATGTTCTTTAACTTTAGTGTACGAGTGTTTTGACATAAGTTAGGGATTAGGGGATGAAATTGGTTGTGTAGCATTCTTTTGAGATCCGTTTGGGACTCTGGGGAAATTTTAAGGGAAAGAAAATTCTACGTAGGATGATAAATCCTCAAAGAAGTTTTTTTCCCCTTTGTCTAAACTAGTATACTCATTATATTTACTCTGTATTTATTTCTATTATAGACTAAAAATCTGTATAGAAAGTCATATTTTTGTTTTGTTTTGTATTTTCTGAGGTAAACCTGAAATTGAGAAAATACCTATTTCATCATTTTTATATTTCTTCTCACTAGCATTTTCTTGGAACCACACACATCCTTGAACTTTTGGAGTGGTAGAGAAACTCAAGTAGTTTTTTTTTATTGATTGAGTGTTTGGGGTTATTCACACAGCCAGTTGGTATGGGTCACGAAGATATGGGAATGGAAGACGAAGGGGGGAGTGGGACTGTGCCTACTACCAAACCAACCTCACACATGTTCTGCAAAACCCTAACGGCTTCGGATACTAGTACTCATGGTGGATTCTCAGTTCCCCGTCGAGCTGCAGAGGATTGTTTCCCACCTTTGGTGCGTTTCTTCTCTTGTTATTCCTCTTTCAGTGGAAGGAGGAGTGACTGTCTTATGAATCAAATAATGTTTTTTGTTGCATTGTTTTTATTATTTTTAAATATTATAAACAATAATTATTTAGGACTATAAAGAGCAGAGGCCGTTCCAGGAATTGGTTGCTAGAGATCTGCACGGTGTGGAATGGAAATTTAGACACATTTATAGAGGTACTGATTATACTTCATAGTTGAATCTTGAAACTTGTTTGTTCAATGTGCAATCTAAGGGCTTTTTTGGTTGGTCGGGTTTCGGATTGCAGATGATTTTTTTTTTTGTAAATGTAAATGTATTCATTAGTATTAGAGCCCTTTTCGTAGCCAAATGTGGCTTATTCTGTTTGTTTTCAGAAAAATGATCAAATAAAGCAGTATAAGAAAAATAGTTTTAATACCCCACTGAAACCGGCTCTATAAGAAAAATAGATTGAATACCGTACTTAATAGGCTAAAATAGATGTAAAGCAAATTTGACCATATCAGCCAAAATACCCTACCCAAACCGGCCCTTAGACTCTCTGTATATGTTATGTTAAATCATGTAATTCTGTATAATGTTCACCTAAACTTTGTTTCACCCGTCTCCTCCAAATCAGAGAGCCAAATAGAGGCTTACAAGTATGGTTTTTATTGTTTATAGGTCAGCCAAGGCGGCATTTGCTCACCACTGGGTGGAGTATCTTTGTGAGCCAAAAGAATTTAGTGTCAGGGGATGCTGTTCTGTTTTTAAGGTACAGTAAGTAAATTTGTGTTTTGGTAAAAATGACAATATTTTAGTTAATTTAATTTTTATTGGTAAAATTTTCATTTTTTTTAAATTGGATTCTTGTAGAGGAGAAGGGGGAGATCTCAGGCTGGGAATAAGAAGAGCTGCTAGGCCTAGACATGGCTTACCCGAATCCATCATAAAGAATCAAACTTCTTTTTCCAGCGTTCTTTCTGAAGTTACAAATGCTCTATCTCACAAGACAACATTTAATGTCTTATATAGCCCAAGGTATTGGTACTACTCTTTTACAATTATATTGCGTTACTGCTCATATGTTTTCTGATATGCACATGGGACTGGGGTGAGTTTTGAATCGTAATGGTAATACATATACAATTATACATAGAAACGGGATTAATAGCTTGAGGCATGGGTCAGTAGCATTTGATTTCTATGCTTTATGAAGTGGTGCAAGTCATGCAACTCATTACTATCTTCGTATCATACTACGATCCTGTTTGGTAAGAGTGAGTTTGGCTTAAAAAAAGTGGCTTATATTGGTGAAGCTTCTACAATGGCTGATTTTGAATGAAAAACAATTTAAAATTCATTTTATACATCAAATGTAAAATATATTATAGAGACAGAGACTATTATGATCATCTTCAACAACCTTAACATAACAGTATCTTTACTCCCTTTAAGCCTACTTTTTTCAACCTTAACTAAGGAGGTCCTTTTGCATTATGGTTTATAATGCAGGGCAAGTCATGCTGATTTCATTGTCTCATACCAAAAATATGTAAAAAGCATCAACAACCGAATACCCATTGGAACGAGATTTAAAATGAGATTCAACATGGATGATTCTCCTGAAAGAAGGTAGGTCTTCCTATTATTAAGACCTCTAGTCCTCACAGTCAACATATAGTTTCACCTTTTTTTGAAAAGTGGATTTTATTCATAATTTGCAGGTTCAGTGGTGTCGTGACTGGAGTTAATGATTTGGATCCTTACCGATGGCCTGGTTCAAAGTGGAGATGCTTGATGGTATGCGGTAAATATGTGTTTCAATTTGTGATAGTAACTTTGTGCAAACTGCTGCCATTAACTTTTCTGACATCCATATATAATGACAGGTAATGTGGGATGATGATTTTATGAGCAATCATCAAGAACGAGTTTCTCCATGGGAAATAGATTCCTCAGTTCCTTTTGCACCACTAAACATTCAGTCTTCTCCAAGAATGAAAAAGCTTCGAACCAGTCAGCCGGCAATGCCACATGAAGGACATTTTCCTGGTATGTTGATTAGACCACATTTGGTAAGAGAGATTTGGATGAAATGGCCGAATCTGCTGAATTCTGTGAGAAAAAAAGCATTTGGTAGCATCCTTTTTAGAAAATAAGTCAAAAGTTACGACTGCTCTGTTTGGTAGCCTGGTATGGCTTATTCAGCTGATATTTGCTTATCAGTTGAGAAAGTAACTTTTGAGTTGTTTGGCTGTAATAAATGCCAATGCCATCACGCACTTCTTGTCAGAAAGTTAAGCAGAGTGAGCAATCTCAGCCAATTCACCTTTACCTAATGGATCATTATTATGCTGATTGCTGATAATCTAAATAAGACGACTATGGCTACCAAGCAGAGCCTTAATCTTTGTTATCACAATCTTTATCTTGTTCGTTTTTTCTCTATTTTCTGTTCTTTTACAGGAAGTAGTGCTGATGTATTGGACTTTGAGGAGTCCGTAAGATCCTCCACAAAGGTCTTGCAAGGTCAAGAAAATTTACGTTTTGTATCACCTCTGTTTGGAAGTGAGAAAACCAGCTGCCATAAGGATTTTGAGAGGCAACCCTTTGGCGACCAAAATCTTGTTGGGTCAACTGTTATAGGAAAGTCACAAATGGGTGATTTTGTGAGAACTCATCATCACCCTCCAGTCACCATCCAAACAGGCTTTCTGGAATCCAACCGATTTCCAAAGGTCTTGCAAGGTCAAGAAATTTGCTACTTGAGACCCCTAAACATGAAAAGTGACATGAACAACTTCTACCCTGTTAGCACCAAAAACAACTTCTACCCGCTCAGCTCTGAAGAGGTGCAAAAGACGTTTTTACCCCTCAATGGGATGTATAGTAGAGCTAACAATCAAGATCCTTTATTGCAGCTTCCATACAACTTACCTAATTACAAGATTTCCGAAAACCATGCATTAAACCCAATCTCCATCCAAGGGAAGGAAGAGCATGTAATTCAAAATTACCAGAATGACCCTAGTCCCGTGGAAAAAGCATCCATATTGCATCATATCAAGAATGAGAAGAAAAGTGAGGGTTTGAATGGAACTGGTGGGACCTGCAAATTGTTTGGGTTTTCATTGATCAAAGAGCCATCAACCCCCAGTTCACAAAGTTCTGGTAAGAGGAGCTGCACTAAGGTAACTGTTTTGATAATGGAGCATATTTTGGGGGTTTGTGGGTGGGTGTTTGGACTGACTATTTTCTTATGTTTCTGATAGAATATTGATTGGGTTGCTTGTAGGTTCACAAACAAGGAAGCTTGGTAGGGAGAGCTATTGATCTATCAAGACTCAACAGCTATGATGAGTTGATGGTTGAGTTGGAAAAGCTTTTTGGGATGGAAGAACTTTTAAGGGATCCTAATAAAGGGTGGAGAGTGTTGTATACCGACAGTGAGAATGACATGATGGTCGTCGGGGACGATCCATGGCAGTAAGCATCGCTTCTCTCTCTACTGAATTAGTTTGGAGTTTAGGACTACATGTACCAATGTACGGTTTTAAGTATATGGTAATTGTTGGATTGGCTTTAATACAAAACTACAGTCTAGGAACTCCACTCATGCATTCGGTGTTTTCCAAGAGCACTTTTTTTTGTTAAATATGCGCGCCTCCTTGCCAACACAATTGGCTTGTTGGCTAAACCTTAAAAAATCACACATCCAGATACAATGTCAAAGGGAATTGAGTAGAGTGAAAAATTGGGAGAAGAAATTAAAATAAAGAAAAAGCGAAAGTAGAAGAAACAATAGAAGGAAGGCTAATAAAATTACGAATAGGAAAGGTAGAATGTATAAAAAATTAATTACTCTTACTTGGATATGCAAGTAATGTCTGCTTCTATTAAATTAGTTATCTTCACAATAATAGTTTTTTGTAAAACTGTGTAATCATATCTTGATATATGCGGGTTGCTATTATTAGTAATAGTACACGAAAACCCTTACTTATGCATGCGTTTTTTGATACCCTTGAAATTTGACTGATGCACCTTTTCACCCCCCCCCCCCCCTTCTCTCTAGTGAGTTCTGTGAAGTGGTATGCAAAATCCACATATACACCCATGAAGAAGTAGAGAAAATGACAGTAGGGGGAGGAGGGATGAGTGACGACACTCAGAGCTGTTTGTTGGAGGAGGCGCTGCCGGTCCCCGATGCATCCAAGTCATCATCAGTCGGTCAGCCTGACGACAACAGCGATCAAGATCTAAGGCTCTATGGCTAAGAGAGGATTTGCATGTCTCCCTTTCATCATGCTTATATGTGTGTGTTGTGTTGGAGCACTTTTTTGTGTTGAGATTATAATGTGCTCTAAATATAATTTTCCCACTCCAGTCCCATACAACAAACAATATATGTTGGCGGAAACTATTGTTTATGACTGTGTATATCATGTGTTGTCTTAAGATAACACTGTATATTGACATTTGCCGTTAGCTAGGCAGCTTGTTTTATATCTCACTCCGGAAATAATTACTCCGTACATCCTTTATCCTTTTCATCACCCATCATGTACTAACTAGGGATGGCAATGGGGCGGGGTTGGGGCGGGGGTTCACTCCCCCATCCCCGCCCCGTGTCTAAAAAATCGCCCCCATCCCCGCCCCATCCCCCACTACTATTTGACCCGCCCCATCCCCCGCCCCGACCCGCTAGACCCACGGGTACCCAACGGGGGAAGTACTCGTAAAAAATTAACATCATTTTAGACTTTGACAATTTTTCAAAAATTAAACAACACTTCTAGTAGCCAAAAAAACTTTTACTTTTTAAGTGTCAATGTAATCTTACATCCCATTTCAAATCTAGAACACATTATATGCGTTCTAATTTAGTCATTTTTATCAAACTCTAAATTAGCATTGATTAGCTCTATAATATTTTCTTAAACCCTGCATTCAATCAATCATGGTCATTTGACGGCATCTAGGACGACCTATGATTACCAAATTTTAAGAGTCCTAACTACAATCATAAAGATGACATTCAAAAGAAAAGAATTAATGTATTGTAATAGTAAAGGAAAAAAATTTTCACACCGTGCCTGGGGCGTTTAAGCTAATATCACTTTATAACTTTCTCAAATTCATTTTACTTTATCCCTACAAAAATCATTTTACTTTATGATTTTGATAAGCAATTTTACAAGATAGCTTAGTTATTAAACAAGAATTAGATAGACCCATTAGGCACAATCCATTAGATAGGAAACCACTAAACCCACCGGGCCACCATGCTATTTTAATTACATCGTATTAGTATTACTATTATTATTAGTATTATTATTGAGATTATTATTATTAATTATTACGGGGGACGGGGCGGGGACGGTGCGGGGGGTGCATAACCCATCACCCGCCCCATATTTATGCGGGGAGAAAATATCTCCCCCACCCCACCACCCACCCCACCCCACCACCCGCCCCAACTCCCCCCCACGGGGCGGTTCCCCACGGGCCCCCGCCCCCATTGCCATCCTTAGTACTAACTACTGTTAAGAGAAGTATACTCTCATAGTCTCATGGCCCACCTAGGGGTCGGCCTGGTTGCGGGCAGGACCGTCGGACTGGGTCACCCCTAGGTGGGAGTGTACTTCTCCAAACTCTTGTAAGGTTTTGGGTTGCATGTTTCAGTTTTGATTCGTTTATAGTTCTTTAATGGGCTAATGGCCTATTGCAATTGTAAATCGGTCCTCGGCCCAAGAGGCTTTAATTGAAATTTGCCACGATCATTGGTATATTTGAGTTTAGATTCCCGTTTGGTTCATAATTTAACTAATCATCCAACACTAAAGTAGAGATATTCTTAACATAACTAAGGAATTTGTCATACATTTTGGGGAGTGAAATGCATACTTGATCGTCAAGTTATTGTTTAAACCTACTCATTGATTTATCCGTTAAGTACTATGTTATCACACGAATGACATGATATGCTATAAGCCACGTTTTATCAGACATCATCTTATTGTAGTAATATAATGATTTCACGTAATGCATACAAAAATTTAGAATAGTTCAAATTATGGTATATTAACACATGAGTTACCCCTCCTATCAGGTTGACCTTTTAGAATGGAACCTCGGATCTTAACATGGTATCAGAGATAAATCGATCCATGGTGTGGAGTCACTTATGAAAAAATGACAATTACGACTGGATGAAAAAAAAACGGACCGATGAAAAAAATATGATCCATAATGATGTTCCAAAAAATAATGATATGTTTCTTTAGTGGTCTTTTAGAGCACACATTATAATAGTTCTGTCGGTGACGTAGCTCAATAGATAGATAGAGATAATAGTTCTCAGATAAAGCAGCCAAAAAATAGAAAAGGGGATTTGATCATTTGACTGCCAAAATTTTCATTTTCCCTAACATTTCGGGAACCCAAAAGCTCATTAAACCGTAGTTAACATTATTGTGCGATCTTGGCAACTAAGGTACCAAAAGCTCATCATTTAATTACCCATTGCTCCATCTTTTTTAGGTTACATAACATCAAGTTGTCTTAGGAACGGAGAATACAATGTAATCAATGAACTTTACATAATATAAATCTTGTTTGAGAAATGTGCAACCACGAATGCTATTCTATACTACCTTTTCCCAAGTAAAGGTTTTCGTTCACCCTTCTTCAGCAATCACGGATTGTTCTAAACCTTTTGCTTTATACATTCAAATTTTATTGAATTTGAGTTTTTTCGGCCTTATCAAAATTTTAATGTAGTTTTTCTATATTTTAAAATTTTATTTACTAAAAAAGCCTTATTATTGATAAACATCGATTAACTATATGGTCAATCAAATGTTGAAAATCGAATGGAAACCTTTACAGATGGAGGAAGTATCATTGGTATTTTCTATTAACTAGTATAGAACCCGTGCATACGCACGGGGAATAACGGTTGGTGCATCTGCTTTTACCATCATCTAATTAAATATGAAAGATAAAGAACTTTTCAAAATTTTACATTTTAAAAGATTAAAAGTACATAGAATATATGTTGAGGAAAACTAAATAAATGAGACCATTCATTTGAATTTAATTTGCTACTTTTTAGTCAGTATTGTCGATAACATATACTCTCTTTGTTTCATTTCAATGTTGTTTTCATGTGGTTTATGATATTTGATTTACCATAAAGTTAACTAATCTATGTCAATAATAAGATTGTTTTTAGGAAATAAAAATTACATATTCATAAACTACGTTAAAAAATTTAGTCACAAAATAAAACTCATATATGATCAAAGTTGGATGTGTGTGTGTGTGTATGTATGTATGTATGTATGTATGTATGTATGTATGTATGTATGTATGTATGTATGTATGTATGTATGTATGTATGTATGTATGTATGTATGTATGTATGTATGTATGTATGTATGTATGTATGTATGTATGTATGTATGTATGTATGTATGTATGTATGTATGTATGTATGTATGTATGTATGTATGTATGTATGTATGTATGTATGTATGTATGTATATAAAGTAAACAATTATGAACAATTTACGTTGACAGGAGAATATTGAATGTTGAACATTTATATGGGGCGAAGATAGTAATAAAGTATTAAATTTATACTCATAAATTTTGGAAAACTTCTTTTAACGACAACATTTGGGATAGTGTGTAATGAATTCCCTTCGTTGTCATTTATTAAGATTTTCAATCTATGTTTACTACAAACTCTCGATAATGCCACATCAAACATTACACGACTAAGAATATGTCTACACAGGTATACTAATTTTTTTTGAGTAACTAACCTTGACTTTTGTTGATTGTCATAAAATAGAAGAAATTATAAAAAATTGTCTTCCGATAAGTTTAAAAATCCATGTTGATTTTGAAGGAGGCGTGCACCTTCTCTAGACATATTCTTACTCCAATAACATGATTTTGAAATTATGTGAAATTTAATTTAGTTCTACTAATCATACAAAAATTTTCAAATCGGTATATATTACTTCATATTATTGGAGTCCAAACTTTGAGCCTTATCTCATACTTTGTAATTCGAAAGACCAAGTGTTTTTAAGAATCAGGTGTCAATGATTCAAATGCTTTTGTTTGGACTGCATCTCACTTGTCTATAGAATCACAATTTAAATATTGTTTTCTTCACCTAAAATAATAAAATATTCATATGTTTAACTCAAATAATTACTTTAATTTAGTTTTTGGTGTGTAAGTAAATAAAAAGTAATACATTTAAAATATCACCAAGGAACGAAGAATGAATATAGTCCTTGTTTCCATATGCAATTTCAATAGTTTAGGAACTCCTCGTTTTTGGGCCTGTATGATAACGGTTGTAATGGCTGAAACTGCTGAACTGACTGAATTGACTGAAATTTCTGAAGTGAAAATGTTTGGTAATATCTTGACTGAAGTGGCTGATTGAATGTATATTTACCAAAAAGGGTATTTGTTTCTTTATATTTGAAATATGTGTATGTTAGCTTTGCTAGGAAAATCTGTTTATTAATATGAGTAAATTAATGTAAAACATTACAATTTCTATTATTTATATTAAAAAGCTCACATGTAAAATAAATAAATAAAAACAGTACATAAATTAAACATAATCATTAATTGGAATGTGCCGTAATGTAACTAATCAAAACATCCAGAAAACATGCATACAAATTGTAATCGAGCAGAAATATTTTAAGCATATATAAGATGGCTTAGATGCGAAATGATATCTGGGAAGAAAGAAGACGACAGATGTGAACGAAGAAGAGAATTGGGGGTGAAGTATTCAAGAAGGGATAAAAATGTATTTTAAGCCAAAAATAGATTTCAACCAAAAAAAGTAACCATTGGGCTACTTTTTGAGCTTTTAAGAATCATCAGCCAAATCAACCCAAAATAGGGGTGTCTGTGATTTTCTTTTGCATTCAAGCTTATCAGCCCAAAAATGGGACTCCAAACGGCCACTTTAGTTCTCGTGTAGGTTAGTGTATGTGCTTCGGACTATTATACTTACTCAGTTACTTTATCATCCAATTGTTTAATAAAAAATACATTTGTAATTTTAATTGTTGTATAATGATCATTGAAAATGTCATAGACTCATAGTCATGTAAATGAATAAGAAGTGTGACAATGCAAACTTACTCACTACATGAGTACAAAGATTGCCACTTGATATATCACAGCTTTTTAAAGTCATAGCAATGTGTGGAAATATCGTCAATAAGTGTTGCACCACTTGCAGGGGCGTAGCTAGGGGTGGCCACCCCTGGCCCAGCCCAAATTTTAAAAATGTCTATATTTTTAGTATAAAAAATTCTGTGTAAATTTTTTCTCAAAAATATTCTTTGTACCGGCCCAGTCTGGCTCACTGCTCTGGCTCCGCCCCTGACCACTTGTGAATTGACCGGAGCGTGGATAGTCGCATGTCTTATAATTGTCCTTCACTTCACAGTACACTGA